CTAAATATGTGGGCATGTAGAAATGCGATAACATATTGCATTAAAAACAATGGATAGTCTTGTTATGACCATTATTATAAAGGTAATAAATTTCACGATTTATAAACTGAATTAATTAGAAGTGTTCCAAGAGCAAAGATGGATTTGTTAACAAGGAACTCTCTTTTTGGGAAGAAAGGACCTGATATAAAAATGGCTTTTGTTGGCTTTTATATAATGTAATATCGAACAATGGGATGTGGGCTTGGCAATGGGAGGTGGGGATGACAATGGGAGATGGGGTTGGCAATGGGAGATGGGGGTGACAATGGCATGTGTTGTTGGCAATTATGGGTGGGGTGGAAATGTTAGGTGGGGGTGCCAATGGGATGTTGGGATGGAAATGGGATATGGGGTGGCAACGGGAGTTGGAGATGACAATGGGAGGTGGGGGTGGCAATGTTAGGTGGGGGTGCCAACGGGAGGTTTGGGATGACAATGTGAGGAGGGAGTGGCAATGGTATGGGGTGGAAATTGGAGGTGGGGTGGCAATGGGAGGTGGGAATGACAATGGGAGGTGGGTATGGCAATGGGAGGTGGGGGTGGAAATGGTAGGTTGAGGTGGCAATGTTAGATGGGTGGCTACGGGAGGTGGGGTGCCAATGTAAGGAGGGGGTGGCAATTTTAGGTAGGATGGCAATTGCGGGGTGGGGATGGTAATGGGAAATTGGGGTGGAAATGGAAGGTTGGGATGGAAATGGGAGGTGGGGTTGGCAATGGGTGGTGGGGGTTGCAATGGGAGATTGGGGTAGCAATATTAGATGGGGGTTGCAATATTAGGTTGAGATTGGAATGGGAGGTGGGGTGGCAATTTTAGGTGGGGATGGCAAACGGAGGGGGTGATGACAAGGGGAGGTGGTGATGGCAATGGGAGGTGGGGGTTGGAAATGGGAGGTGGGGATAAAAATGGGACAAGCAAGCAATCCAGTAAATCTGTTTCAAAGAACCAGTCTATGCGCCAAGTTTCCAACAACCAGTCTATGTGCCTAGTTTCAAACAAAGGTCTATGTGCCTATTTTCAAACAACCAATCTATATGCCTACTTTCGAACAACCAATCTATATGCCTATTTTCAAACAACAGTCTTTGTGCCCAGTTTCCCACAAATAGTCTATGTGCCTCGTTAGCTGCAATCAGTCTATTTGCCAAGTTTCCAAAAATCAGTCTATGTGTCTAGTTTCCAAAATTCAATCTATGTGCCTAGTTTTCAACAACCTGTCTTTGTGCCAAGTTTCCAACAACCTGTCTATTATACTAGTTTCCAAAACCAGTCTATATACTTAATTCCAACAACTACTCTCAGTGCCTAGTTTCCAACAATCAAACGATGTACCTAGTTTCCAATAACCAGTCCATGTGCTAAGTTTTCACCAACCACTCTATGTACCTAGTTTCCGAAAACCAGTATATGTTCCAACTTTCCAATAACCAGTCTATGTGCCAAGTTTCCAACAACCAGTCTATGTACCTAGTTTCCAACAACCAGTCTGTGTGCCAAGTTTCCACTAAACAGTCTATGTGCCAAGTCTCAACAACCAGTCTAAGTACCTAGTTTCCAACAACCTATGTGCCCAGTTTCCAACAACCTATGTGCCAAACTTTCCAACAACCTGTCTAGGTTTCTAGTTTCCAATATTTTGCCAGCCAGCCACTACACAAAAGCGACATGACGATCAATAACTTGAAAGAAGTATTTCTTATTACGTCGATAGCGCGGTGATCTTGCACACCACCTCCTTGCGCATTAACAAATACAAAACTTTTAATCAAAATTTAATATTAATTTTAGAACACTTGAATGCATGTCTGATAGATGAGAAAATATTTCCTCTATTTTCACTTACAATGTTAGAGTCAGTGTATGGCGATAAAGAAGAATAACACTAGGATTATTTTATTTTCCTGGTAATTAAGATAATTCTGTAAAATCAATGATATAAAATATTATTGGAGTAGTATCCCTTTAATATCCATAACCTTCTCACCGGCCATTCACCACAGACAAGACCTCTTCCTAACAAGCTACAAGATCTCTTCGTATAAAGCTAAAAGACCATTTTGGTATAAAGCTATACATTTCGAACAGATTTACTAACAGTGAACCTGATCTATACTACGTAGCTTTAAAAGTGACATTTTATGTGCTAAAGATGGCATTATCTATCGCCTAACAAATCGATGGATTGCGCACTGACGTCATAATGTAGACTCTTAATGTGAGACTCTCCTTATGGGATCGAAGAAGGAAGATAACATAACAGTAGGATAGAGACTAAGACATAGACCAGTGCTTCTCAAAGTGGTGGCAAGAGGGCCAGGGGTCTGGCGCAGGTCCACAAGTGTAAATCTATTGAAACCGATGCATACTAACGATGATATAAGTTTGAACATGCTGTAATGTGGTTGTGCATCATTTGGCTTGAGAAGCGCTGATCAAGAGGCTACTTCTGGTGCATCGTTTGAGGACATCTTAGCAATGGACATTTTAGTAATCTTGGTAAGAAGGTTATTTTTAAAGAAACTTTTTCCAAAGACATATTTGCTGTCACCTCTGAATGTCAAATGACGTAAGCATATGATGTCTACTGTTGTTATAGTGGCATTGATTGTCATCAAAGAAAGTCCACAGCTGTCAATAAATATTGTCTACTATTAATATGTAATGCAGGCTGCTGGTGCTTATGCTGAATGTCTAATATTTCGGCTGAATGGCTACTGTTGTAGTGGATCAATGTCTATTGTGGTTTATGCTGAATTGTAACTTCTGTTTATGCTGATTTGTAACTTTTGTTTATGCTGAATTGTAATTTTCGTTTATGCTGAATGTCTACCGTTGCATTGGCTCAGTGTCAACTGATTAGTGGCTTAATGTCTTATACTGTAGTTTCTCAGTGTCTACTGTAGTTTTGTCTAAATGATACTGTTGCTTACACCAAATGTCTTTTGTAGTGTTGGTTCAATGTCTAGTATTTAATTGCTTAATATTTCCAGTATTAAAAAAAATCAGAACAATTTGTAAGGAATTGAGCGTCATTATCCGAATTTCAATTATCTGAAACTTCAATTATCAGAATGTCAAATATCTAAACACTTCAGTTATCCGAATGGACCAAAAAACCAACAAAACAACCCAGAGATCGAAAAGGTCCCATGAATTATTGCATGCAACGGAAACACAGTGGAAACCCTCCTCACAGATGACCTCTAGATCAATACATTACATGCAGCCATACATTGCATGCACCCATACATTACATGCAGCCATACATTGCATGCACCCATACATTACATGCAGCAATACATTGCATGCACCCATACATTACATGCAGCCATACATTACATGCAGCCATACATTACATGCTGCCATACATTGCATGCACCCATACATTACATACAGCCATACATTGCATGCAGTCATACATTGTATACAGCCATACATTACATGCAGCCATACATTACATGCAGCCATACATTACATGCAGCCATACATTACATGCAGCCATACATTACATGCAGCCATACATTACATGCAGCCATATATTATATGCAGTCATACATTACATGCACCCATACATTACATGCAGCCATACATTAAATACAGCCATACATTACATACAGCCATACATTACATGCAGCCATACATTACGTGCAGCCATACATTACATGCAGCCATACATTGCATGCAGCCAAACATTGCATGCAGCCATACATAACATGCAGCCATACATTGCATGCAGTGATCACCCTGTGATAACATCATCAGAAAACGTGTGTCAGCGTAATAATACTTAACCGACTGTAACGACAATCGTACCTTTGATTTTATTTTACTTTCGGGGGAAAAGAAATCTTTTCGTAGAAAACGTATTTCTTCCTCACCGTTAAAGCACCGTAGAATCTTTAAGGTAAGAACTAATATACCGGTACTACATTCTTTGTACTGACTAGTAAACTCAAACTTTTCGTGGAATTGTTCGATTCTCCGAAATATTGTTTTTTCGAAAAAATAAAACGTTCTGAAATAGTTTGACAAAAATCGACTCTCTACTCTATTCTACTCTACTCTACTCTACTCTACTCTACTCTACTCTACTCTACTCTACTCTACTCTACTCTACTCTACTCTACTCTACTCTTCTCTACTCTACTCTACTCTACCTTACTCTACCTAACTCTACTCTACTCTACTCTACTCTACTCTACTCTACTCTACTCTACTCTACTCTACTCTTCTCTACTCTACTCTACTCTTCTCTATTCTACCTAACTCTACTCTACTCTATTCAACTCTAACTAACTCTACTCTACTCTACCTAACTCTACTCTACCTAACTCTACTCTACTCTACTCTACCTAACTCTACTCTACCTAACTCTACTATACCTAACGCTACTCTACCTAACTCTGCTCTACCTAACTCTACTCTAACTAACTCTACTCTACCTAACTCTACTCTACCTAACTCTACTCTACCTAACTCTACTATACCTAACTCTACTCTACTCTACTCTATATATTGTTTAAAATGTTTTGTTTATGTTAAAAATCTCAAAACCCTTTTTTGCATTTGTTTTTGTATATGTTTATGTATATGTTAGTGTATATGTTAGTGTATATATTTGTATAAATGCTTGTTTTTTTTTGCTACATTACCCATTAGTTGACAAGTTGACAAAACTTTTTTAGACATTTAAAGCTACACTTACATACGTTCAGTTCTTAAATTAACTTGACTTCAATTTTATCTTATATAGATTTGGTTAAAATGCCTTAGTGCAAACTTTGACCCCATCATAAGTTCAAGGGCGAAGCACAACGTGTGTCGCGTCGTTGCAACAAAAAGATTAACCCTGGAAGTCATGTTGAAGCGATATCTTGAGACCCGTCGAACTTCTTCTCTGTACACCACCATTGAGGCAAGCACGGACACAACGGCTTACGTCACACAAGCTCCATTCCAGTGTGGATCAATGGCAACTGATGTTGAAGCCGCCGTCATCCACGGGACTGAAGCTCCAGAGAAAGCCTGGCCATGGATGGTGATGCTAAGAGGTTCAAAAGGACACTGTGGGGGCGTACTTCTCTCGGACACCTGGGTACTGACCGCGGCGCACTGTCTGCCTGGGATCTATCAAATTGTCATGGGCAAGAGAAACAAACAGGTGCGGACAGAATATGAGCAGCACCGACGGGCCAGCCGCGAGTTTATGCACCCCGAGTCCAACATTCACGACATGGGACTCGTATTGTTGGACCAACCGGTGGAGTTCAGTGAGTACGTCAGGCCAGCTTGTCTGCCCAACTCCTCCATCAGCGAATACACCTCGTGTTACGTCTGCGGCTTTGGGGTGACGAACCCTGCAGAGTTTGTCGTGTCCCAGACACTGCAACAATTGAAGGTGCGCATCATGGACAAAGAACCGTGCATCCGTGCTTGGCTCACTGTGGAGTTCTGGCTCGCAGATAACAGCATCTGCCTTGACAGGGATCCTGACAACCAGGGATCAGGGATCTGTAACGGAGATTCAGGATCCCCACTCAGCTGTAAGCACGGGAATACATTTCACGTCATAGCGATAGCGAGTCTTGTTGAGAAAAACTGCTCCAAACTCATACTGCCGGATGTCTACGCGCTAACAGCCCCTTACGCCCAGTGGATCAAGGAAACAATCCACTCTTCCTCCAGAAGTGAACTTACCTGTGACAAGGAGTGTAACACCTGGGTAAACCCAAGCAGACGTTCAATTGCAGCACCATAGAAGTTAGAGTGGCGAGGGTTCATTAACAGACGTTCAACTGCAGCACCATAGAAGTTAGAGTAGCGAGGGTTCATAAACAGACGTTCAACTGCAGCACCATAGAAGTTAGAGTAGCGAGAGTTCATGAGCATATGGTATTATTGCGTAGCATTCAGTGAATTGGTTTTACAACCTGTTAAGACCACGGATTTATTTCTATATTATATATATAATGTTGATTTCTGTTCATCGCTAAATGGTTAATGACATAGAAACATTTAATATCAAAGGAGGTATAATGTCCAACGAGAAAGGTGGTAACTCACCCAGGGGGAGGAAGGCTTCTCACCCAGGGGAAGGAAGGCATCTCACCCAGGGGAAGGAAGGCATCTCACCCAGGGGAAGGAAGGCATCTCACCCAGGGGAAGGAAGGCATCTCACCCAGGGGAAGGAAGGCATCTCACCCAGGGGAAGGAAGGCATCTCACCCAGGGGAAGGAAGGCATCTCACCCAGGGGAAGGAAGGCATCTCACCCAGGGGAAGGAAGGCATCTCACCCAGGGGAAGGAAGGCATCTCACCCAGGGGAAGGAAGGCATCTCACCCAGGGGAAGGAAGTCATCTCACCCAGGGGAAGGAAGGCATCTCACCCAGGGGAAGGAAGGCATCTCACCCAGGGGAAGGAAGGTATCTCACACAGGGGAAGGAAGGCATCTCACCCAGGGTAAGGAAGGCATCTCACCGAGGGGAATGAAGGCATCTCACCAAGCGGAAGGAAGGCATCTCACCCAAAGGAAGGTAGGCATCTCATCCAAAGGAAGGTAGGCATCTCACCCTGAGGAAGGTATTCATCTCACGCAGGGAAGGGAGGCATCTCATGTAGGGAAGATAGGTATTTCATCTAGGGAAGGTAGGCATCTCATCCAAAGAAAGGTAGGCATCTCACCCAGGGGAAGGAAGGCATCTCACCCAGGGGAAGGTGGGCATCTCACCCAGGGGAAGGAAGGCATCTCACCCAGGTGAAGGTAGGCATCTCACCCACGGGAAGGAAGGCATCTCACCCAGGGGAAGGAAAGCATCTCCCCCAGGGAAGGTAGGCATTTACCCAGGGAAGAAAGGTATCTCAGCCAGGGGAAGGAAGGCATCTCAACCACGGGAAGGAAGGCATCTCACCCAGGGGAAGGAAGGTATCTCACCCAGGGGAAGGTAGGCATCTTATCCAGAGGAAGGAAGGCATCTCACCCAGTGAAAGGAAGGTATCTCACCCAGAGGAACGTAAGCAACTCACCCAAAGAAAGGTTGGCATCTTATCCAAAGGAAGCCAGGTATCTCACCCAGGGGAAGATAGGCATCTCACCCAGGGGAAGTAGGCATCTCATCCAAAGGAAGGTAGGCATCTCATCCAAAGGAAGGTAGGCATCTCACCCTGAGGAAGGTATTCATCTCACGCAGGGAAGGGAGGCATCTCATGCAGGGAAGATAGGTTTTTCAGCTAGGGAAGGTAGGCATCTCATCCAAAGAAAGGTAGGCATCTCATCCGAAGGAAGGTAGACATCTCACCCAGGGAAGGTAGGCATCTCACCCAGAGGAAGGTATTCATCTCACGCAGGGAAGGTAGGCATCTCACGCAGGAAAGATAGGTATTTCACCCAGGTTAGGTAGGCATCTCGCCCAGGGAAGGTAGGTAACTCGCCAAGGGAAGGTAGTCACTTGTCAGGGCCAGTAACATTAAATGGTGTAAAGTCCAAGGCAAAGAACATGATTATATATCCGCCTGTCTCTCAACAGCAATTTACTTTTTTGGTCAGTACAGCTGCCCCACCCCCGACCCACCAACGCCCCACCCACGACCCACGCACGACACACCCACAATCCACCCACGCTCCCATTCCCTTCAGGTAATAGGAAATTATTTTAATTACTTGCATTAGTAACTTCCCTATTTAAAAGTGCATTTTAGTGGCTTCCCGTTATTCTAATTAAAACTTAGTTCCCATTGAGTGGTCTCCCGTTGTTCGAACTCAGGATTTCCCGAAACTGGAATGCGAGAAAAGGGATTGGAAAAAATAAAAATATTTCATTTTAAATCTTTAAAAAAATTAACTGAATATTTGTATATCTTTTAACATTTCTGAATAAAAAAAAATGTATTGACATAATAAGCCACAAGCCACTATTCTATTTTCGGCAACTTCTTTTTGCATTTCAATAAATAAATTTGAATCTCGTTGTTATTATATAATACATTCTTACATTTGTTGGGTTTTCGAGACTTAAGCCAATTCTAAGGGGGTAGAAGACTAGTCAAATATTTCTTAGGGTCTGCAAGACTAGTTAAAGATAATAATTTAAGGACTGCATTCAGGTCGTGTAAAAAGAAATATATGAAGAAGATATGCCAAACTTGAATTCATAGACAGGACCAAAGATTTTGACGTGTTGGCTTAGAACTTTCATAAGACTAGTTAATATTTATTAGCGGAATATAATGGAAAAAAAGTTTTGAGAAACCTTGTTCTAACTTTTAACTTAACTAAAATTGAATTTTAAAAAGTACCTTTCTTATTTAAGATATTTATCTGCATTCACCTCATTGAAATATTTTATAATTTTTGTAATGGGAGCCTTAAGATGTCACAGTATTGGTAATGCTAGAATTAAGATGTCATAAAAAGGGCAATGCTAACCTAAACATGTCACAGTAGCAGCAATGCAAACCTTAACATGTTACAGTATTTATTTATTTATTTATTTAGGCATTTTTATATAGCGCTTATCATAAAGCTCTAAGCGCTTTACAATTATTAAAACAGTATTAGCAATGTTAGCCTAAACATGTCACAGTATAAGAAATGCTAGCAAAACATGTCACGAAATAAGCATTGCTAGCCTAAACATGTCACTGTATTGGCAGTGCTAGCCTAAACATGTCAAAATATTGGCAATGTTATCCTAAAATGTCACAGTATTGGCAATGTTATCCTTAAACATGTCACAGTATTGTCAATGTTATCCTAAATATGTCACAGTATTGGCAATGTTATCCTCAACATGTCACAGTATGAGTAATGATATTATTATAGAAGAGGGGAACACAACCTTTATTACACTGACGTAAAAAAGCAAACATATTTTCAAGTTGAGCCACGTTACCCCAAGTTTTTAAGTTGAACCACGTTACCCCAAGTTTTTAAGTTGAACCACGTTACCCCAAGTTTTTAAGTTGAACCATGTTACCCCAAGTTTTTAAGTTGAACCACGTTACCCCAAGATTTTAAGTTGAACCACGTTACCCCATGATTTTAAGTTGAACTACGTTACCTCAAGTTTTTAAGTTGAACTACGTTACCCCAAGATTTTAAGTTGAACCACGTTACGCCAAGTTTTTAAGTTGAACCACGTTACCCCAAGATTTTAAGTTGAACCACGTTACCCCATGATTTTAAGTTGAACCACGTTACCCCAAGTTTTTAAGTTGAACTACGTTACCCCAAGATTTTATGTTCAACAATGTTACCCTAAGATTTTAAGTTGAACCACGTTACCCAAAGATTTTAAGTTCAACCACGTTACCCCAAGATTTTAAGTTGAACCACGTTACCCCAAGATTTTAAGTTCAACCATGTTACCCAATGATTTTAAGTTGAAATACGTTACCCCATGATTTTAAGTTGAACAACGTTACCCCAAGATTTTAAGTTGAACTACGTTACCCCAAGATTTTAAGTTGAACTACGTTACCCCAAGATTTTAAGTTGAACTACGTTACCCCAAGATTTTAAGTTGAACTACGTTACCCCAAGATTTTAAGTTGAACTACGTTACCCCATGATTTTAAGTTCAACCACGTTACCCCATGATTTTAAGTTGAACTACGTTACCCCATGATTTTAAGTTGAACTACGTTACCCCAAGATTTTAAGTTGAACTACGTTACCCCAAGATTTTAAGTTGAACTACGTTACCCCAAGATTTTAAGTTGAACTACGTTACCCCAAGATTTTAAGTTGAAGTACGTTACCCCAAGATTTTAAGTTGAACTACGTTACCCCATGATTTTAAGTTCAACCACGTTACCCCATGATTTTAAGTTGAACTACGTTACCCCATGATTTTAAGTTGAACTACGTTACCCCAAGATTTTAAGTTGAACTACGTTACCCCAAGATTTTAAGTTGAACTACGTTACCCCAAGATTTTAAGTTGAACTACGTTACCCCAAGATTTTAAGTTGAACTACGTTACCCCATGATTTTAAGTTCAACCACGTTACCCCATGATTTTAAGTTGAACTACGTTACCCCATGATTTCAGGTTGAACTACGTTGCCCCAAGATTTTAAGTTGAACTACGTTACCCCAAGATTTTAAGTTGAACTACGTTACCCCATGATTTTAAGTTGAACCACGTTACCCCATGATTTTAAGTTCAACCACGTTACCCCAAGATTTTAAGTTGAACCACGTTACCCCATGATTTTAAGTTCAAACACGTTACCCCATGATTTTAAGTTGAACCACGTTACCCCATGATTTTAAGTTCAACCACTTTACCCCATGATTTTAAGTTGAACCACGTTACCCCATGATTTTAAGTTGAACCACGTTACCCCATGATTTTAAGTTCAACCACGTTACCCCATGATTTTAAGTTCAACCACGTTACCCCATGATTTTAAGTTGAACCACGTTACCCCATGATTTTAAGTTCAACCACGTTACCCCATGATTTTAAGTTGAACCACGTTACCCCATGATTTTAAGTTCAACCACGTTACCCCAAGATTTTAAGTTGAACCACGTTACCCCAAGATTTTAAGTTCAACCACGTTACGCCATGATTTCAAGTTGAACTACGTTACCCCAATATTTTAAGTTGAACTACGTTACCCCAAGATTTTAATTTCAACCACATTACCCCAAGATTTTAA